CATGTTAATCCCAAATTGGACCGCAGTCTACTTCGTTCGTGAATCTGTAGGTAGGAGTTATGACTTAAAAAATATTAAAAACAAAACTGAAAGCATACTTCCTGGTATTCAAACGATCAAGTCAAGGTGAACGAATCCACCGTCCTGACATGGTTCGATTGTCCAGTTTAGCGGTTACCCTAGAAGTGATAAATCATGTGATAAAATAATTTATGTATGTTTTCAGTCAGTGAATCACACATGTTGAAGAATCGGATGTGGTTTGCTATGACGACTTTTTCATTTTCGCAGTGCGAAAGATCTTTCGCTGCAAGAAACTCAGCTCCGCTCATGGTCATTAGTGAGCATGGAGATTCCGTAGCGAAAGATCTTCCGCGCTGCAAAACGTGAAAAAGTCGTCATAGCAAACCACACCCCTTCCAACAAAAAATGAGGGAGACAACTCACGGTATTATATTCTTCACTGTGCTCTTCAGTTTCAGTATCCGACACTTTTCTCGCAAAGTGCACACGGATTCGTCCAGCTTTTGTCTTGGTCTTGGGCTCTATCTCTTCTATTCGAGTCGGGACAGCGCTAAAAGAGAGAATTCATGACCAGTAAAATAAATACAATGTAAGAAATCTTCCTCCAATTTTCTTCGATTTGGCTTCCACCATTTCTGTTGCGAAACAGAGCTAGAGACAACATCGAAAAATGGTCTCCAATTCAATCGAAACAGGGAAAAAATCGAATGAGGTTTTGTCAAAACACAAGCGTTTCGTGGGTTGAAGTTCAAAAAAAAAGACTTCACGAGAGACCTTGGAAGCCTCAACCTCTGGCCTCCACAGATCAGCGACACTCTCCGCGAAATTGAAGTGAGAAGGGTACAAAAGTTTCTATCAAACACTCACTTTTCGATTTCCAATTTCTTACATATGTGCTCTGATTCGTTCTGCCATGTCTTGATCAAAACCTCTCAAAAGAATGGACCTGACCATAACCTGGAACAAAATAATAAAAAAAATCACGAAACAATCACTTTCGTAGCTGTACTCACCGTCACATCATAGCCCAACCCGTGCAGGAAACCAGCACACTCGAGTGAAACGTAGGAAGCACCAACACAAAGTGTTTTCCCAGGAGGATAAGGAAGTGGAAAAGGTCATCACTAAACAATACTTCGATGATATGAAGGCAAAGACAAAGAAAGTTCCGCAACCTCACCAGCAGTCAATATCTACCTAAAAATCAACCTTTAAACACAGTTTGCACGTGCACCGGGGACGTCCGGAGGATATCGCGGGAGGAGCATTCGCATTTGTATGCTTCATGTTTCGCCGCGCGAAACATTGTTCTTTGCAGGATTCTCAGGTCCACTAATAATTCGCTCCGGGGACCTCGGGTCCACCTATGATCAGCGCAAGACCTAAGGTTCCTGTAATGAACAACGCTTCGCGCTGAGAAACGTGAAGCAGCCGTTTTCTATCCTAGTGGACCACACTCCTGCCTTTTCTGCGTGGAAATCACGAGAACGGTAGAACGAAAAAAGCACCTGTAATGACTATTCGCGAAGCGGATACGATTCTTTCAAGAACAGAGCTTTTTCCTAAGCGATACACATGTTCAAACATTTCTCCGCCAATCGTAAGCAAGCTGAATAATTCAGTCTCAAACGAAATATAAAATAAAGGTGCAGAAGATTTACCGTGAAAATTATGCGGAAAGTACACTTAGCAGCGCATCCGTAGCCTGCGGTCTTCGGCGTGTTCGGAAGCAAACTTTGCGAAATCAACACCTCCACAGGTGATGCTTTCTAATCCAAGGTTCATCTATGTTTCTGCATTCTTCGAAGCAACAGATAAAATCTGAACGAAAGACCGGCACAACAGCACCTAAAATTTAAAAAAACGTCTGGCAACATGTATGATTGAGCTGAAAGAGGAAATAAAGCAAAATTAAGGCTTAAACTCGGGTTTGGAGGGGGGCACGCGATGGCGCGGGACTGCTTTCCTCTCCGATCAAGGCTTATTAGGTCAGCAGAGAGCGTACTGTGTTCGCCAGTGCCTGGGCAGTATCAAAAAACGCGCCATCGGGGACTAAGCCTTGAGTAGCAGACGAAAACAGTGCTGCGACATCGCGTGCTCCCCCCCCCTCCCGAACCCGAGTTTAACCACATTAAGTCCTGAACCGAACATGAATGACACCGAATGGAACACGAAACACTCACATTGTGGGGTTTACTGTTAACGATATTGACATGATTCCACCAAAAAAGAAGCCAACCAACACAACACGACATTTCTCCAGGAAGCTGATGCACGTCACACTAAAATCAGACATGATGACTTAACTTCAAGATTTTCGAATGTACAAAGCTGAAGTATTTTGTATATATAAAGAAGAGCAAACTCACTCAGTCCATCAGTGAGATGTATTTTAATCGGCACGTATGGATCCTGACCCTTATACCGTTCTGGGTTGAAGGGAAATGAAACAAGTAGCACCGAGCAAAATGAGTTCCTGTAAATAATGGCATTTCGGAATATTCTCTACACATTAATGATTCAGGCACATTAAAGGCATTCCACGATTGTATAGATGTTTGCTGTTACACCAGAAAATGCAAAGAAAAAAAACCTCCCCCTCCCCTAAGCAACGCGAAACATTGTTCGTTGCAAGAGAACCTCAGGTCCGCATGAGGTCGGTGCACGGGACATCTCGGATTCATGGGGATGGAACAGCAGTGACCTGAGGTTCCCGCAAGCGTTCCAGACGCGACATTGTTCGGTTGACGGAAATCACGGATCCACCGGGAGCGGACGCATCGTTTTGTACTCCTACTGACTAGTAAAGGGCGCCATTCGTTACGGGTCCCACTGCCTCCTGCTACAGTGAACCCTTCAATTGGAGCGGGGAATCCGTGAGCCAGGGGCAGTGTAGCCAGTCTAGGGGGGTGGGGGGTGAGGGCAGTCACTTGACATGCGTGAGAAGCTGGAATGTTCGAATTCAACCGCGATCACATGGGATCCCCGCGGGTTAAGGCAGTGGGTCCCGCGACGAATGGCGCCCTATACTAGTCAGTAGGAGTACAAAATGATTACTCCTCCTGCCACCGATAATTCGCCGCAGGAACCTCGCGTCAGATGACGGTCACAGGTGGACCTGTGATTCCCGCAGCGAAAAAGCGTTTCGCACCGCAAAACGCAGAAAAAGCCGCTCCCTGTTC